ACGGTCTGTCCGTCCGCGCTGCCGTGCCCGCCCCCACCCCCACGGGGCTGGATCCCCTGCAGGGCGCACGATGCCCGCATTCCGCGCTTCTCAAGCCCCAAGCCGCCCAGGAGGACCCAAGCTCCGAGCTGGGGTGGTGGGGGTGGGGGTGAGGTTCAGGGAGGATGTCCTGGAAGGAGCCACTTATACAGTGATTCCTGGGAGTTGCTGGGTCAGGGGCCAGAGCATAGGTTGGGCCAATGGGGAGAGTTCAATGTGTCCTGGGCCTTGCAGTCACCGAGGGAATAGGGCGGGGGTGGTCGCTCCTCCCCCCCAGGCTGGGGAGTCCTCGCTGAAGCTGGAAAGGGCCTAGCCCCCTCCCTCTGGACCCCCCTCCGTTAGCATTCCTGCTGGGCACTCTGTCACCTACAGCCCACAACTTCAGCTGCCCCTGACCTGCCCTGACCACACGCAATGGGCATAAGGCCCAGAGGCCACTCAGGGTTTCGAGGTACACGGTGTCCTTTCTGGGCACGGGGAAGCCTCTGCAGGAAGCCAGGCGCCTGGCCAGAATGGGATCCAAATCAAAGGTGGCCCAAACTACTGCCTGGTGTTTGCCGGTCCCACAAGAGTGCCCGGCACTGGACAGCTTGGATTCAGTACCCACCTGGCCTATCCCCACTCCCCAGACCCCACAGCAGTTTTAGGGGCCCAGGATGGGCCTGAGGGCCATCCCATGAGGTGGAAGGAAAGGTTTCTAGAGAAGGCTCCAGTGAGACAAAGGGTTAGGGATGGGGAGGCTGGGCAGAGCCACTTCTGGGGTGCTAAGGGAGCTGGTGGACAGGCCAGCTCCTCCCCAGGTGGCCTTGGTTGGGACTAGATGGCCAGCAGGGGGAGGCTGGTGCAGGGAGACTGTGATCAAGTGTGGTTTTTCTTTTTCTTTTTTTTTTTTTTTAATTACCAGGGATTGAACTCAGGACTTGGACTTGCAAGGCAGGCGCTGTGCTGCTGAGCTAAATGCCCGGCCCTCTTCTCCTCAGTGCTGAGGATGGAACCCAGTTCCTTCAGTGCAGTAAGCACACGCCATCATTTGAGCTGCAATCCAGCCTCAAGGTGGCATTTTTAAGGCCAACGGTCTTATCCCATGTCACAGGTGATGTAGCCACAAGGGCCACCTGTCATGGGAGAAGGCGGCCTGCTTCCTTGGGCTGGTGGCCGTGCCCCCTCCATCTGCCGGGCTCCTGGGTGCTGCATTGTTAGTGCCCCACCTCTCCCCCCCAGGCGCTGGCATGTGGTGGAGGAGCCTTGAGCCTACCAAAGCCTGGCTTATCCTGCAGACTGTTGGGCTGTGGGCATGGTGCTGTGCACATGGTACCTCTGGGCCCCAAGTTTTGGATACCTGGCTTGCCCAGAGCTAGCTACATGGATGAGTGGCCGACAAGGACCAAACGAGGGAGTCAGATGAGGCCTTGGAAGGATGTAGATGCCTTGGGGCCCTGTACCCCCAGGTCCACCCAGGGATGATGCCCAGGCTGCCTGAGGCTTGGAGCTGAGGACCATGGCAGGGTACAGTGGTTTCTGGTGGCCAAGCTTGTTCCCGCCCCCTGCTCCCAGGCAGGAAATAACTCCATCGGCAGGGACAGGGCCCCTGATGGATTCCAAAGCTCTTGGCGGGTATTTCTGCACATCTGGAGCCAAGCACTCTTTCCAGGGGCTAAGGGAACCTCATAAGAGGCTGCAGCTGTTGGCAGACAAGTCTCCTGCAGGCTGAGGGGCAGACATGTAGGATTCAAGGACAGCTGGGTGTGCCTGGTGGGTGGGATGGGATGCTGGCCCCTGCAGAGGGCTCGGAGGCTCATCTGTCTCAAGGCTGCTGGTCTAGACGTGTACACAAAACCTTGCACCCACACTGCTAGACACAGCTCCAGGGATGTGTGCGCACAGCCTCACACCGTACACCTATGTATGTACAGGGATGTATCAGTACACAGCTCCACACCAAACACACATGCACTTCTACACAGACGTGTTGTTGCAGTGACACACATGCACACGCACACACACACACACAGTGCCCTTCAGACCTGCATGCAGAAGTGTGACTGGCTGGGAGTTTGAGTCTGGCATGGGGTCACAGTGGTGGCTCCCCATACCGAGCATGTCCAGAGCCAGGAAATGTAGGCTCTGCTTATCACCTCCATGGTCCTCAAGCACCATTTAGGGGAACGCAGGGAAGCGGGGGTCCTGGAACACCCCTTGGTGGTGTGGCCCCGAGTTCCCCCGACATCCAGGTGTCAGCCACCTCTGAGGTTGAGGAAGCAGGTGGGGACCAGATGAGGCCTTGGAAGGAAGGCCTCATAGGAAGCAGCATTCTCTGCAGCCAGCAGGTCACCAGCCACACCAGAAGCAAGGGAGGGTGCTGAGGCTGCCGGTGGGCACCCCTGTCCCCCATGGAGCAGACCCCCAGACAAACCACACCCAGGCTTCACAGGTCCAGCTAAACAGCTTTATTAGTGATGCTGGATTCGTGACACACCTGACATGGGTGTCCCCAGGGCGCCTCTGGCGTCTGGGACAATACTGTGGAGCATTTACACAGGAAGGACAAAATAAAGCTTTGGTGCACAGGTGTTCGGGACAGGGCGTAGGTTAGCACTGTCACATGGATACTTCACACAACACCGGCTCTCAGTGGGCAGTGGGGTCTGGCCAGGGGTGACTAAGTGACGGACACAGGGCTGTCACCACGGCTGTTCGGGGCCCCAGGCGTGAGGGGGGCTTCTAGGGCTGAGGCTCCACCTGGCCCTGCCGCTTCGCCTTCATCTGCAAGTATCGCCCTTTGCCTTCCTCGAAGCGCTTCTTCTCGTCCTCAGTCTCCGGCTGTGGGCCACACGGAAAAGGGCAGGTGAGGAGCAGCACAGCCAGGGGGCAGCAGTGACCTGGCCGCAGGGCACAAGACCCACCCGGCTCCACTGAATCCCACCGTGGGCCTGTCTGCCCCGCAGAGACCCTTGGTGGAATTCCGACCCAGTGTCCCTCTGGGAGCGAACTTCAGCTGAAAATGCACTGGGGCTCAACGGCTGGGTGCCCACACCCGTCATGCAGCACTGGGCTGAGGCAGGAGGGTCACCACGAGTCTGAGGCCAGCCCTATGCTAGAGAGGGTGGAAATCAGACCCCACACTCACTCTATTCCCAGTCAAAGTCGCTGCCGACCATTGTGACCTTGAGAAGGGCTGCTTTGTGGCAAGGGGGACCCCCCCACCAGCCTTGAAACACAGATGCTCAGGAAATGGCACCCTGAGCTTGGGTTCCCTTACCACCTTCCTCCTCTTTCCTGACCAACTCAAGGGTCTGGGGCCAGCTGAGTTGACTGGTGGGTCTTGGCCAAGGGCTGGGCTTTGGCAGGGATGGTCCTGATGTGTGCCTGTTAGCATGTGGAAACCAGGAAGGGCACCACTGCCACTCTCAGGACAGCATGGGTTGGCCAATGCCACAGGAGCAGCACTAAGTGGTCACTTTTTGTTTTTTTGAGAAAGGGTCTTGCTCTGCAGTTCAGAATGGTCTCAAACTCAGTGAAATCCTCCTGCCTCAGCCTCCCCAGTGCTGGGAGTACAGGCGTGCTCCACCATGCTGAGCTCTTAGGTAGGTGGTCACTGCTGCAGGGCCTCATCTGTCCCAGTGCAAAGCTGCAGGGTTCAGGTCTGTGTGCTATGCCAAGTCCCCAAGAAGCTACCTTACTATGGCGTTCTGAGGGTGCCTGCAAGCCAAGGAGCAGGGGCAGGTGCCCTTCATGCGGGACACCGGGCCCAGCAGCTATTTTTAGGACCGCTTGTTTAGCAGACAAACGGAGTATCAGCAAGAGAACCACAATGTCAAGTCACCCCAAGTCCCTCCCCCAGCCCTCTTCCGAGGCACTGCCTACAGTTGCCAGGTGTAACTGCCCTGGCCTCCGGCTCCCAGCCAATGGGCTGCGCGGGCATTTAGAGGCAAGGAGAAATGCTCCCCAGGGGCCACACCCTGTTTGAAGAGCCTTCAGGGCACACATGAAAATGCTGGCTTTGCCAAGAGCTCACTCAAGAAGCCCCCCTGCTGCTCCAGTTTGATCACCCCACTGATGGTTTAAAAATAAAACTTGAGGCTATAGGATTTGACTTGAAACAGCAAGGAAAAGCTAAAAGTTCTTTCTCAAATTCAGCAGCGATGCAAAGGGGGCGAGACCCTGGGCTCCCTGGGGCTGCAGGCTCAGGGCACCACGTTGGGCCTGCTCACTTTCATTTGCATGAGAATCATCCCCCTGGGCACCAGGGTCTGACACAGGCTGTCTGGGGCTGAGACATTTCCATCAATGTGATACTGTGGGCACGGTCACGCCTGTCCCGTCCCCTGGAAGGGGCCAAGAGTACCAGGTCAAGCAGGTGCCAAGTCAGATAGCAGGGCCCTGCTAGTGTGGCTGAGGAAAACCTACGGCTCTTGTCCATTCCTCAGTGGGCAGGGTAAGCATTACAAAGCTGGGCAGTCAGGCCTCGTGGGTGGACACTGGGCTTTCAGGCTTGGGAGCAGCTGGGGCACGATGGAGGCAGCGCAGGGTTGGGAGCAGGAGAATGGCAGGTGCTGAGGCAGGCTGGACCACATGCTGAGCCCACCTCCAGTCTACAATGCTGACCCCCTCTCTGCTGATGTCTGCCCCAGAGAGGGAAACAAGGCAAGGGACTTGGAAATGAAGAAGAGACCATCCACAGTAAGGGTGCAGGTGGTCCTGGACGAGGGCAGCAGCCTGAGCCCATGCCCAACATGGAGCTGACCCGTCCAGCACTCCTGGGACATGCAGATGAGGAACCCTGGGCAGGAACCTAGACCTCGGGTGCCCGGATCACCAACCCAGAGCTCTCTTTGGGCTGCAGGACCCAGGAGGGAGCAGACAGGAGCTGCCACTGGTGGCCAGCAGGGAAGACACATTCAGGCCAGGGCCCTGGGAGGGGCTGGTCCCACCTCGATGGCACTCATTCCTGCTCCACGTGTGCTACCCCCTGCTATCCTGCAGCAGGTGGTCAGTGGCTCTGAGCCTCCTGCCTCTGCCCCCCAAACTCCAAAGCCAGATGGTCTGGGGCGCCAAGAAACACACTCTGACGCAAAGGTCTGAAATCTCAGCCAAATCTATGTAGCTCAGCTTGACTCTCACTGTCCTCCCCACTAAGGCTGGGCGTTCTGGTGCTGGCGGCCCTGGGAGACGTGGGGACAGAATCTGTGTCCGAGGGCTGCCCTTTCTCTCTGTTCTTGGTGGTCCAGGCAGGTGGTGGCCGGTCCTAGGTGCAGCTGGCTCTGCTTCACTGCTCTTCTACCAAGCTCACGGGCTGGGCAGGTGCAAATCCCCCAAAGTGGTCACAGAGGGAGGCCACCACATTCAGAACAGCATATCACAGCGACAGACAAAAGATGGGGGTTGGAGGGGCTGGGGACATGACAGCTAAGGGGTGTAGTGTTTCTTCTTCAGGTGGAAAAATGCCTTCAAATTGATTGTGGTCAGAAATGCACAGCTCTGAAGAGGCTAAAAACCACTGAGCTGTACAGTACATAACCATACCTTAATAAAGCTCTTCTAAGATCAACCAGTGCAAGGGCAAGAGCATTTTCCTGATGGGTTACAGGAAGTGGAACCCATGGTTCAGCATGGTGGGTGCCCACCTGAGACCCTGGCACATGCACCAAGAGGTCCAGGGTGCAGGGGGCGAACACTGGGTTAACACTGAACCCTCTCCTTCACCAGTGACCAATCCTGACTGGCCTGGTCTGTGGACACACGGGGCACCCCTCAGTGCCACTGTCTCTGGGAGATAACGATACACAGAAAAATAGGCGAATCACGCACAGGTGGGCAAGTGACAGCTGTGACAAAATCATCACAGCAGACATGTGCTGGGGTGCTGTGCCCTCCTGAACCACGGAAGGTGTCCAGGTTATCTGCCAGCAGCTGCCACCCTTCCCTGATCCAGCCAGACCCCTTAACTGGCAGAGCAAGACTTTGACAGAACGACAGCTGTCCCCAGGAGACCCAGAGGGTGGCGGCCAGCAGAGCGCCAGCCTGGCGCTGCAACAGACAGGCAGGTTTCTTCCCACCCTGCACTTCAGTCCCTCATCTCTAAAAAAGGTGGAGTCCACCCTGGCAGCAGGCCAGTTGTGAGGCACTGGCAGGGCAGCAAGCAGTGAAGTGCTATGGGGAGGGGCTGGCCCAGCAGAATGTGGGCTCACATGAGAGTGAGGGGTCTGGAGGCTGTGGGGAAGGATGCGGCGACACCAGGCTGGATCCTCATCAGGGCTGGGGGCAGTGCTCTGGTACCATCCTCGGAGGCTCACGTGGAATGGGCCTTGCTCACCTCCTGACTTCGACTTCCGCCTCGCCAGACCTGGATGCCCTCCCCTATGCTATTCCAAATGATGGTGGCTCACGGCCTTGGCTGTCAGCAGGCCAGCAGGGGTCCTGAATGCATGTGTCAAAGGCTGTGAGTGCTCCTGTCATCAGGTGGTCGCTGCGGGACCAGGGAGGTCACAGGCTGGAGTGCAAACTTCTAGCACTCAGGCGGGCTGGGCACTGGCCTTGGGCTGCCCTGATGGCCAGATCTGCCCTCAGCCGGCCTGGCACTATCTGATGATGGATGTGTCAGAGGCCGCCAGGAGAGCACGGCCACAGCTTCGCAGGGGTCCAGAACACGGAGCCAGCTGACAGCCTCATCGCTCTTCTGTCCCTGGGGACAGTGGCCTATGTGGCTTGGAGACAGTGCAGGTGGCCAAGGAGCTGTCTTCCACCTCACTGGCCTCAACTGCACCACCTCGAGCAGCCACCCTGTGAGATGCCATCCCAAGTCACCCCTGGGCAGCGAGGTGCCGGGCAGTCCAGGATCACTCCTGAGAGGGGAGGCAGTGTCTGCACCAGGGTCCTTCCCAGGGTGAGCTCGGAGGAGCCGCTCTTCCCGCCAAGTGGCGAAGGGCATTGTCACATTCCTGCCAGGCATGGAGCCAGCAGGAGACAGATGGCCCCCCATGCACAGCCCCTGCCCACGGCACAGCTGCCACCCCCTTAAAGCCAGTCCCCCTCCATGGGCAAAGTAAATAAACACAGACGGTGGTGCTGGCTGCTGTCCTCCTGGAGGGCGGGGGTGGAGAACATTCCCTGGGGAATCCAACTTGTCTTTTGCAGCCAGCAGGGAGGCAGGGGACATGGGCAAAGCTGCCTGCAGCCCTGGGCAACTCAAGGTCTCGGGTGCCTGGCACACATGGCAGGAACCACAGCTGGGTCATCCAGGCCTGGCTGGGAGGCCTGCGGTACACTTCTCACCTTCCTAGGCCCTAGCTTGTCACCTGGAACAGGACTCAGAGAGGAGACCCCGCAAAGCATTTCCTGTGGCGTGTGGCACATGATCTTGCTTCTTGTGTGCATGCATCTGTGGGGTGAGTATGTCCTCCTCACAAATAACTTCAGATGCCAGGTGCCCTACTGGGGACTGGCAGCTGCTCCAAGGATGACTCTGCTGCCAGGGAGGACAGCCACATGGCACCAGGGTCATCCAAAGGCAGCAGGACCCACGGGGACATGGGGCAGCAGGTTGAAGGGACACTGTCTTCTTGGTGCCTGGGGCTGTGCCTGGCAGGAAGTGCTAAGCCCAGGCCCCTCCAGCATGGTGGCTCCCGGGCCTCCAGTCTGCATCTTTCTCCTCCTCCTCTATGCACTTCCTGCCAAGTGCTGACTCTGGGCACCCTTCCACTGAGGAGGGGAAGCCTGTGGCTTTCAGAGCCTCACGCTGCAAACCAAATGTTTTCCATTCCACATTCTCTGTGCTTTGAGAACACAGTCAGAAGGCAGCAGAGAGGACAAGTGACTAAGCCCCACCTGTGGAAGATCAATAGTTTGTCCTTTTAGTAATCAGCTTGAGTCTGGTGCGATGGGGGTACCAGGGGCAATAGGACAACTTCCTGTGAGCCTGTGGGAGGGACACAGGCCTTCTTAATGCGCTGCCACATGGGTCACCCGCTCCCATGTCCTAACACAGGGTGAGGGGGTTCTTGGCACAGTTATCAACATGAACAAAATGACTCTGATTATTAAGGATGCCTGGCATGGCAAAGAGGCCAATCGGGTCAGGCAGTGGTAATCCTGGCAGCAGGACCAGCAGCCTCACCTGCCACCCCTCCCCAGGGCCAGCCCATCTGGATTGGCCATTCCTGTACTGTGCCCATCCGGATCCCTCACCAGCCTCTGGTGGGACACAGCAGAAGTCTCAAGCAACAAGAGCACTGTGGGGAGTGTGAACACCTGACCAGGGGTCCCTCACTGGATGGTCCCTGTCCTGGCCCCGAAGCAAATGCTCCCATGTATGGCCAAGAATTCCAGATGGAAATGGCAAAGGCAGCTGGCAAAGGTGGGCAAAGCACCACCAAGGAAGGGCACAGTGCTCAGTGCCCAGGGCTGGGTGGCCCTTCTCCCCAACCACATGCACCAGTTGTGCCTGCTCTGCTGCCAGCCAGTCCTGTGGCTCTCCTGCTGCTCTCACTCCCCTTCCAAGGTGGCCCCAGTGGAATTGGATGCCCTCTCCAGCCTACTGGCACCTGAAGCAGTGCCTCTCGTGGACCATGTGACTGAGCGGACCCCACTCTCCAGTGCTGTGGAGAGACAGGGTCCAGCCTGGCAGACCTAGGCAGCCAGCAAGGCAGAGGCAGCTGGGGAAAAGCCTGGGCTGCTGAGGGCCAGCAGGGATGCGGCTCCTTCTCACTCCCACTGACTTTTTTAGTATGGGGGATCCAACTCGGGACCTTGCACTTTCAAGGCAAGCAGCGGCACCACTGAGCTAAATCCCCGGCCCTCCCACTGACTTGATGTCGGGAGTCCCCACACTCACTGCAAGTCCCTGAGCACCAAGCGAGCAGCCCAGTTCCAGGACCCGACCTCCAGAAACACCAGGATTTGCCCCTGGGTGAGGCTGGCGCATGCGAGGTACCTAGCCCTTCTGGGACAGGCACAAGCCTGCTGCCCTTCAGGAATCTGGACTCTGGCATTGGCCAGCAGTAAGAATCATTCCTGGGCAAGACTGCAGGGGCTGGCGGAGGCCACAGAGTGCCTAGTGGCTCTTTTGGTGACAAAACTCCCTGGGACGGGGTATGGCATGACTGTCCACCTCCACGGGTCAGAGCGCCTTCCTGCCTACACCCGCAGTCCCACCAGGACATCAGCCTCCTTCTCCATCCTGGCTGGGCCACAGCCAAGAAAGTGGCAACCACTTCTGCTGGACAGGCACAGGCCCACGGGAGGACCCCAGACCTTTCTATGCCTGTGCCCAGGCTTGGGCTGAGGTCCCCAGGAGCAAGGAGCTGACTGGCATGAGAAACTTATCCTATTCCCTGCCTCAGGACAGGTGCCAGGGCCTTCTGGCCAGGCTGCCACTGGTGGTACCGGGATAGTGCAGGGATGGTACCAAGGCCCAGACTGCACGAGTGTCTCAAAGTGGCACTGCGAAGCGGCACAGCAGGCAGGAGCTGAGTGACGGGCATGGCCCTTCCCGGGCCCTGACTGAAGCCACATCACAGACAATCCCCCGGGGCTCAGACCGAGGAGGGTTACCTCAGGCCACACCTGCAGTGAGCCACCCTCTCTTGGGGTGGGGGCAGCACCAGAGCCAGCCTGCAGTGTGGCCGCCGCAATTGGTCACCCCAACCCTGTCAGGACAGACGATCCACCCAACTCTGGACACAACACACGGACCAGGCAAGCCATGCAGGCCGAGGCCTTCAGTTCCCCATGGCCAGCACAAGGACCCCAGCACGCCTGCCCCTCCCAAGAGGCAGGAATGGCCAGAGCATGGCACGGGGCTGGCAGGAACCAACCTCCACCCTACCCCCGGCTGGGTGCTCAGCAGACAGGGCCATCACTATTCTAGGCGCTGCTGGGACAGCACTTACAGCGAGAAGACAGGGGGGACGCCCCGCCCACCCTCCTCAGGTGCCCTGGCAGGGTGAGGCCCCGCAATGCTGGCTGGCCCCAGGTGGATGCTCCTGCTGTGGGTTTGCTGGGCCACACCATTCTCAGACCCAGGCTGATGCTGTGGGCCACTCTGGCATCTTCAAGGGCAGTAGCACCCTCATCTAGTCCCACACAGGGGCCTGGGGGTCATCTGGCCCCAGCGCATGCACAATCTGGTTTCCTGAACACAGCCATGCTCCCCATGCCCAGCTGGGAAAGGCCACCCATGGGAGGGCCTGGCAGTCAGTGCCCCTTCCCAGCCCTGATGAGTGGTCTGTGACCTGCCCACTCCACTGGCACTGCCATGAGGAGGCCTGGCATCCACACCCACAGCCTGGTGCCCATTCCAACCCTGGGCCTGGAAAGTGCTATAGCTGCTGGGAACGTGGTGTGCAGGCCCAGCCCACATCAAATATTCAAGAAACAACGGCACTGAGAGGCTGCGTTCCATGTAGCCAGGCCCTGGGGAGCAAGCTAAAAATAGAGGATGAAGCGTGTTGGCAGAGGGGGCGGGGAGGGGACTGGAGGGGCGGCACATGCACCCCTGTGGCCACATGCGGCCCATGTGTGCTCACGGCCATGGTTCCCAAGTGGGTGCCACAGGGGCCTGGTTAGAGCGGAGCGGCCCTCTCTGGGGAGTCCACCGTGCCTTTCCTGCCAGATCTATTTTTACCAGCGTTGGTGGGTCCCAGGGCACCTCTACAAGGATCAAAGGCCATCTTTCATGAGCAATAATAGCAGCCTAGAGACACATGACACAGTCCCACACTTGGGGGACACAGTGGCTATCTCCTCCCCACCCCCACCTCTCCCAGGGTCCCCACATGCTGACCCAAGACCCTAGTCTCTAGAAATAGAAGCCCTCAGACCAGCCATCCTTTGCACCCGAGGCGGGCGAACTGGAGTCCAGCTGAGGGAAGGGGCAGCCTTGGGCTGCGTGGAAGAGGAGGAGCTCAGCAGCCGGGACAAGGCGACAGGACAGGCGGGCTGCCAAGTGCTAGGAGCAGTAGTGCACTAGTGTGTGAGTCCAGGAGGGACCAGGTAGGGGCACCAGGAGTCTGCACAGCAGGCCGAGAGCCAGGCAGAGGCTCCAAGGACTGAGGTCCAGGAGGCCAGTGGTCATAGGTGGATGTGGACAGACACTCCCTGTCCACTGTGTAGGCTGTTGGGAGCACTGTCTGGGCTTCAGCCTCCAGAGGGGGCACAGTCTGGGGCATGGCTGGGGACACAGAGGAGCAGGGCAGGGCACAGAGCTCTTCCCAGCCCGACAGAGGGGCTGCCGTGCAGCCCAAGTGGGCCAGGTGCTGTCCCATCTCATGGCTGAGTCCTCAGGCTCACTGTCAGCCCTTCCTTCTGCCCACGGACCTCAGGGAAATCATGCTGGGGGTGGGGACAGGACCATGAGGATTCAGGACCAGCCTGACTCCCCGGAGTCCCCAGGCAAGGCCAAGGCAAGCGACAGGAGATTCCCAGGCAGCGCATTTACAGTCACTCAACACTGCCGGGACAGGCAGATATCCCCAGGGCTCAGCTTGCCAAATGCCCTGCTTTTGCCCGCTCACCCCGCTGGTCCCGAAAGAGCCATCTCCTGAGTAACAGGCACTGGGTCTGGCCCACCCAGGAATCAGCACCAACCTGAAGGCTCAGGGCCTTGGGTGCTGGCCAAGAGCGGGGACTTGGTCCCTGTGGCAGGATGGAGGTCCCATACCTGGGCTGCTCTATCCTGCAGTGGCCATGACCATCCAGGGCTTGTAGCTTGAGAGGGACACACAGACAGTGCACACTCACCACACAGCCATGCCCAGGGTCTGAGGTAGAGAGAGCCCGGGAAGCCCAGGCCCGACCCGAAGTCCAGGGCTCTGGCTTGCTCCCTATCAGGCAGGACACACAGACCATGGCCCCCACAGGAGAAGCGGCCCCTTGGCAGGGGTTGGAGAGCAGGGACATGGGGCACAGTTGTTGCCTGCCTAGCACACACATGACCCTGGGACCCCAGGGGGCACTGCGGTCTCCACACCACCCCATGACATGGACAGCACTGCTTCCTGAGACTGCTCAGACTTGCCCACAGCCCTGCTCGCAGTCTGAGCAGGGCCAGCTCAGAGGTGGACACCCCACCCCGCGCACTCACCACCAGCTGCGGCACAGGGAGGGGCTTTCCCTCCTGGCTCAGCGACACGTAGGTGAAGAAGGCGCTGGCGGCCCGGTAGCGCTTCTGCGAGTTATCCACCACAGGGTCGGCGTCCACCAGCACCTCGATCTCCATGGACTTGTTGCTCGTGAAGGTCATACGGCCAGAGATGGTAATGACACAACCTGAGGGAACCGAGCGGAAATGAGGGGGTGGCCGGGGCGGGGCGGGCGGAACAGGGCGAGACCAGTGTTACTGAGGACAACTAAAGGCACAGGTTAGGTGACACAGGCTACAAGACGACTGGGGTGAGATAGCACAGCGAGATGCAACATTAGTAGCCCAGGTGTGCTATCTCCCATGCTGTCCTCTGGATCTCAGTGGCCTGTGGCTGTCACCTGCCATGGAGGAACCACCCCAGACTGGCCCTGGGGATGGTTAGTGGCCTGTGTCTTCTCTGCAGCCTCACTGTGCCCACTGGCCACACGGCTGCCCCAGCTCTGTCGGGCCAACTGGGTCCCTCGTGAGCCACCTCCAGGCTTCAGCCCACACAGCCCCAGCCTTGCCAGGGTCGCCATGACTGCTCGTCACCCTGCCATGCTAAAGCTTCGCCCTCACAGCTGTCATTGTGCCAGGGCCCTCCTCAGCCTCACTTCTTCCCCATGCCAGCATAGCGCCATGTGGTCACGACGAAACCCAGGCACTGTTTCTTTTCTCCAGTGGCTGCAGGGTAGCCTCTGTTTCCCAAGGCCTGGGCTCTTGTTCTCCATTCTGACCACCGCTTTTGAACCCAGAGCTTCTCTCCCCGCCCCTCAACCTGTGGGGCACAACCCACAAGCATGGCCTCGGCCCTGCCTTCCCTCGCCAGTCTCTCATCCCTCAGAGCTTAGTTCTCCTCCATAGGCAGACTCCACAGAACCTCTCTTGGCTGCCACGGGAGGAAGGAAGGAAGGAAGCCCAGTGTGGAGCCTGGTCCACAGGTGTCTCCACTGCCACCCTCGACGTCACCGCCCCTGGATGCCTCTCTCCAGACTGTGACCAGGACGCCCCTACCCCAGCTAGGCCACCTCTACCCCTCCTGAGTTGCCAGGGAGATCTGCTCCGCAGGAACTGGTGCTGGCTGTGGGGGCCTTTGACACACTGGAGTCACTGACATGTTCAGAGACCGAGAATGGGGGGGCAGCGCAGGCTACTCTATGTATCTATGTAAATGTTCCACAACGTTTCACGCCATACTGGACATCATACTTACACACTTTGTGCTGGACATGACCGTTTCTGGGAGGGAGGGAAGGAAAGAGCCATGTGGTCAGTGACGGGTAGCATGGCATGGGCTAGGAGGTGCAGGGTCACCAGCAATCATCCAGACAGGGTAACCACACACCTGAGGTGTGTCCCACTGAGAGGCTGGAAGGTCATGATGGTCATACTGGTCATACGGTCAGCAGCTCCCTCCCTCCCCAAATGCTCAGCAACCATCCCTGTCCCTCACGACCATGGGCCAGAGGTCACAGGCCAGAGTGCAGGGACCCTCCCATGAGAGCAAGCCAGCATGAACTTCCTTGGGGACTGCAGGTCGGAGAGGAGCACCTTTGGTGGCTGCTGGGAGGGCAGTTCCCAGGCTGTGCACATGGCTGTGAATTCCAGACAACAACAGAAAACATGCCCTTCTGGGGTGGTCCTTCCCCGCTGCCACCTGCTGTGGCAAAGGCACTGGCTGCTCCTGGTTTCACTTCTATGCCAGAACTCTGTGAGAGTACTGGGGATTGAGCTTAGGTCCTTGCACTTAGCAAGTCAGGCGGCAGCACCACTGAGCTAAATCCCCAGCACAGGAGTTTTTTGTTTCTTTGTTTTTAATTTTATTGTTTGCTTGGTGTTTTTGTTTGTTTGTTTTTGCAGTACCAGGGATTGAACTCAGGACCTTGTGCTTTTGAGGCAGGCAGCAGCACCACTGAGCTAAATTCCTGGCCTTATGCCAGAACTCTGAAGACACTTATAACCGTGAACACGCAGGCCGGCCCACGAGCCCAGGCCAGATGACAAGACCTCCCTCCTGTGAGTGGGGACAACCCTAGCCACAGGCAAAACCCAAGCCTCCTTCCCTCCGGAGAACAGAGCCGTGGGCCACCTGAGCCCTGGGCAGGACACGGGAGGGGCTGGGGCTCGACCCGGCCTAGGCCCAGACTCAGGTAGGTAACAGGGAACATGGGGGCTTTCAGGCCCCACCTGGCCCTCAGTTCCCTCCACCTGACCCTCAGTGTCCTATTTGGCCACTGTGGCCTTGGCCAGGCTCCGCCTCTGCACCTCAGCCCAGGTATTCCTCCTCAGTGACTCTGTTCCAGTACAGCCCAGGGCCTCTGCTGCGCCTTTCCTGCCTGTACTACCATCTGAGTGACCCCACGAAGCTGGAGCAATGTGGCCATGTGGACACAAGTCGGGTCTTCACAGCCTGGGGACCCCCCACCCTCCATCACGCTGCAGGGAGGCTGAGCCCTGGACTGGGTGCACCTGGGGAAACGGGCAAAGACATTCTGCAAACCTGCTTCCCTTGTCAGATGTAACCTTCAGAGCAACGCCTGTGTCCTGCTGCCCCCCGTCCAGCTGCCTGTCTCTCCCCAGGAGAGGAGGGTCCCCAAACCTGCTTCCCTGCCCCAGGTGCTCAGGACAGCAGCAGAGGGAGTGAGCCCGGGTCTGAGTGGACACAGGGCAGCAGGGGACCCACAATGACAGTTTCCTTCTTGGAGGCCCCACAGGCCTCACTGGACACTGGACCCACTTGGAGAGCTGAGGTTTCCAGGTGGGAGAGGGGCAGCGCTCTCAACAGCAGGCCCAGCACTCCAGAGTGAGTGACGTCAGCAGGAGGGGACACCTGTGGGCGAGCCATGAATGGAATGGCAGCCACCGTCTGCTTTCATCGCCCGTGAGCCAGGCTGGGTGGCGCAGCAGCAGGGCTGGCAGGTGCCCCATCATCGCCCCCACAGAAAGGTGTCTCTCCTGGGTGGCAGCAGCCAGATTTTAGCACTGTGCCAGGACTTGGAAAATAAAACAAAATAATAGAAAGCTGTTGCCAAGTGCGGGAGGGGGGCCAAGTATCAAGGCTGAGAACAGGGTCAGCACCTGCCCTTCAAGGGGCCGTGGCAGGGAGCTCTCTCAAGACAAGTGGGAGACAGGGGACAGACGTGGGCATTTCTCACATAACCTCCGGAGCCTCTTCAGGGATTCCCACCTTCGCCCTAACCACCCGTGAGATGCTTTCCCCAGGAAGGTGGTTTTCAGCCTCCCAGCCTGGGGCTAGTGTGGCAGCAGCTTCAGGAAACCACTGCACCATTCCTCATGGCACAGGACCCCGCTAGGAAGGGGCGCTGGCTGTGTCCTCCATGGGGAGGCAGGGCCTGGCCTCAGCCTCCTTCACTCTTGCTGAAGCACAAGGCGAGGGGAGGACGCCGGGCAGGGACAGCACCTCAGGGAGCACAGCTGTCTCAAGGGTTTAAAGTGACCCGAGCAGAGCCACATGTTGTGGCTTGGGTCTAGCTGTCCCCCCAAAGCCTTGTGCGGCCACAGGTGGCTTTTTCAGAGGTGGCTGAATCTAGAGCCTGTGCAGCTAGGACTACTAAATCGGCACACTGACTGGTTTGGCCCCACCCTAATCGCAGTGGTCTGGATAAGATAAAAGCCGCAGCAAGAGGCTATTAAGGTCCCTGTTGCTTTTGCTCCCCTGTGGGTGCCATGAATGGTTTCTCCTCTGCAACGCCCTGCTGCCCTGTGCGACACTGCCTTGGAGCCACCGATTATAGACTGAGACCTCTACAGTTGTGAGTAAATCACCCTCTCCCCTTCAGCTTTGGGTGTCGGGGATTTTGTCTCAGCAACGAGAAAAGTAACTGAGGTGCCCCATCATCAGAGCTGGGATCCAACCTCATCCTGCTCCGCTGCTCACACCTGCGTGTCACCAGGAGCCCAAAGCCTGCAGGGTCACGCCCACCCTGCTCTGCAAAGGAGCCATGGGAGGAACTGTGCTCGCTCACGGTGACGGTGCCCTGTGGCCTGCAGAACCCAAGACAGATGCCCTGATGCTGCTGGTGAAGGCCCCTCACAGGTGGCATTCTAGACAAGACAAATGGTGTGACATCAGCCTGGAAGCAGGAATAACTCCACAACCGCCACTTCAGTCTGCCCCAAATTCCTTCTCATCCAAACAGGACGTTACTGAGAAAGCAGCAGCAGCTCCATGCTCCTGTGAGGCACCACACGCTTCCCTGGGGGCTCTCCAGGCAGAGGTTGTGGTAGCCACGGCGGGGCACGGACTCTGGGAGAGGGATGATGCTGTTGCCACGTGTGAGAGTGCTCTGCTCTGCAGCTCTTCAGGAGGTGGGATGGGGCCAGACCACCAGCTCAGTACCGTGGCCCATGGTCCATTACCCCCACCACCCATGGAAGCCAGGCCACCATGGCCACCCTGCTAGAAGTCACAGCTCTGGAAACAAAGACCCATGCTGTGTTCTAGACCACACAGCCTCCTTTAGAAGGGAGCTCCTGTGCCCTGCACAAGCTGCCCTATGTCTTCCAGACTGCAAAAGTCATCTTAGAAAGACAGTCTGATTGGCTCCAGTTTACAATCTCTCGAGCTCCATAATCCCTGTACTAGGGGCCATTGCAGCCCCCCTGACCGTCCCCTCCCTGTGATCCTGGCGGTGAGCAGAGGCCCTTCTCAGTGCTACCACATTCCCAGCAAAGGCTCTGTCACCCTTGGGTGCTATGCTGAGCTGCAGCCTCACCTGCCTCAGGCCTAACATGTAGGAAGCAGGAACAGCATGCTGAGCTCTGTGGTTCCAGACACTCAGGGATAGGTGGGCACAGTGGCTCTGGGGAACACGAGCACAGTCTCCACTGTGGATTCTGAACTTGTACTTAATGCTGTGGCCCTAATCACAGTGATATCCCCAGGTGGGAGTTCTAGAAAGACAGTGGCACAGACTCATGGCGTGGTGGATCCTCATCCCCAAATGTTCCCGCCACGTTGCACCTGGCACTCAGAGCATGTGATGCAGACTGGGCCACTTATTTGGGGCAAATTCTAAAAAGGACATTGGAACTGTCTGTAATGACAGGAGGACCAGAGAGAGGAGCCCTGCACACAAGGCTGCCCAGAGGAAGCAAGCAGGGCTGCTGAGGAGGCCGCACCTGGGCTACTATGTTCAGACACTCAGTTCCCAGAGCACAAAAACTCCTTCCTCCCCCAAATAAATGTGCTGGCCACATGGCTGTGGTGTGGCAGCTGTGCACATGGGACCCTCACAAGGATCCTTTTGACGGTCAGCACACAAGGAGGGGTGCACGAAGGTCTTTGGGAAGAGAGCGGCCTCTGTCACTATGAGTTTCATATTTTACCAGCCTGAAAACTGAAGCCAATCAGCACTAGCCTCACAGATGCCCTGCAAGGCTAAGCATGCACAGCTAGCTCTTCCTGTTTCCCAAGGCAGGTGGGTACACACCAGGCACAAGAACAATAGGAACAGAGGCCACAGACTCGGGGCCACGCCCTCTCCCCCTTAACTGTGTCAGAAGAGCTCTGTTACCTTTACGGATCTTGTTGTGAAAATTAATGGCGTCCACAGAAGCTGTGACTATGTTGGTCTTGCAATGGCGTGCAGCCACGATTCCGGCCACCTCATCCATGAGCTTCATGGTGACCCCTGCAGAGAAAGGGGAATTTGGCAGAGGAAACACAGAATGGCAGCTTCCCACCTGGAGATAACACCACCTGCCACCCACCTGCAACCAGCAGTGGGCACGGGGATGACCGGGTGTGGAATGCGTCTGTAACCTAACACTGGCTCAGGAGGTGCTTGCAAATGACCCCAGCTGACACTCCGGGCCACTGATGAAGTGACAGCCCTTTTGTTGACCTTCACAGAACCCCCATTTGGCCAGGAAGTTGTCGAGGATGTGGAGAGCCCCCTATGGCATTCGGATGCGGTATAACTGCTAGGATGTCTGGAACTGCCCACACTTGGCTTAAAGGAGAGGAAAAGCAACACACGTTCAGCAGAAACTTGAACATGCTTCACGGCAGTGCTGTTCCTGGTCCCCTAACAGCCAAAAAGTGGATGCAACCCTAATGTCTGTCAGCCGACGAGTGGATAAACCAAGAATGGTGCATCCACCCACCGGGCCAACCCATGCTACAACACAGATCAGCCTGAGAAACATCGGCCGGAGGGACAGATGCCAGGCACGAATAGCCACACACCACGGGATGCCACCAGGGGACATGTCCAGAACAGCCTGGTCTGCAGGGACTGGAGTCAGACCCCTGGGTCGCTACAGAGACAACAAAGGGGAAATGGGAGAGGCCACTGCAGGGCTTCTTTTCTGGGGTGATGAAAATGTTCCAGATTTCACTGTAGTGGTTAAGCACATTTCCTAATCCAAATAATCTGCAATGCTCTAAAGACCTAAACTTTTCAAGCACAAAAGTGACACCAGTAGAAAACATTGCATGTGAGCCAACCTGGGCAGCTTTGTGGCTCTGACTGATGCCGTCTCAAGATGAAAACAGGGCTGCAGTGTAGCTCATTGCAAAGGGCCTGGGTTCAACTAGAAGTCGTATTGGTCCAGGAATCCCACTCCTGAATAAAGACCCACAGTTTGCCAGAGAACCTCCTGTACCCCCAAGTGTGGTCCAGCATCAGCACAACAGCAGAGATGAGGACAAAATAGAGATGTCCACCACCAGAGAAGAAGCACAGAAAATGCGCAGTACAATGGAGTACTACGCAGCCATAATAAAGAACATGGCACAACACAGATGCAACTGGAGCAGGGGGAGCATAGAAAAATGAGTACTACATGTCTCACTTCCACATGGGAGCTAAAAATAAAGTTGGTTTCATAGAAACAGAGAGTAGGAGAGCAACCAGAGAGGGGCTGATAGGGAGAACACAGGTGGAGGTGGGTGTTGAGAGAAGAGGAGTATGGGCGGAGAAGCCGGGTCTGCAGGAGGCACATCCCTGCATTTACAGCAGGCAGAGCAGTCATGGCTCTGGAGAGTTCACCTCTCCATAAACAACCGGAGGGAAGTTCGAAGGCTCCCGACACAGGATGTTCATGGGAGTGGGATTCCTGGATGGAATGCGAATCCTCTGATCATTTGCACTGACTGTGGGTTTCCAATATTCACACTGTACCCCACAACAAGTCAGCCATGTCAATACAGAGATTTCCTGACAAAAGTTGTAGAAAATGTGCTAAAAGGAGCTTAAATTAAGCTAGTAGAAGTATACTTGTTAAGGAAATACAGCACAGTCCCCCTCAAAAATATAGAGGGCTGTACTTTCCTGACTTTTTCTATCATCTAAGTATCACGAATTACAAAGTAAAAGCAGTATAGGGCTTACTCTCTTTTATAAATATTGCATTGTCCTTTCCCTGACAATTAAAAACAAACCATTTACCTGCCCCACAAGCACAAGGTCCTGAGTTCGATCCCAAGTACCAGAAAAAAAAAACAAAAACCCATTACTTATTTTTAAAACTAATACTTCCTGAAGGCTCAACAAAAATGGGAATGACTTCGTTTACCTTGAAGACTAATGCGGGATTCAGGACAGAAATCATCTCACATACTGTGATGTTCAGCAATACCGAGGAACGCAACAAATGTACATTTGAGTACTGGGGAAAAAGTTGTAGAAAATTTCCTTCCCGTTATGAGCAAAGTGCACACAGAAAGTACACGGATTCCATCTTTAAACTTGGGTCCCACTCCAAGTCACCCCGTCCTGTGCATGCAAACATACTCCAGGCTGAAACAACCCAAAGCCTGCAACACTTCCGGTTCTGAGCAGCTGGCAGAGGAGCGCAGCCCTGGCGTGAGGACCAAGGACTGAGCCGCACCTCCTAAGGCTTGTACACAAGTTACAGACAAACCGGCTCCTCGAGCCCAGAGCCCATAAGCCTCAGGCCATATGCAGCACCCTTCACCTGACAGATTGCCATATGCAAGTCCCCTGTCCCTGATTCTTACCTTCCATATATTTTTCTTTGCTTTCAGTACTGGGACCCAAACCCGCTACCTTCTCACTGAGCCACCCCCACTGCTTAATTTAGACAGGCTCTTGCTCATTTGCCCAGGCAGACCTTGAACTTGCAATCCTCCTGCCTCAGCCTCCTAAGTGCTGGGATTACTGCTATGTGCCACCATGCCCAGCTCTATTCAACCATTTGTTTTGTTTGTTGGTTTTTTTTTTTTTTTTTTTTGTACCAGG